ATAGATAGATAGATAGATAGATAGATAGATAGATAGATAGATAGATAGATAGATAGAAATCTAGAAATTGGTTTTGAACGATGACAGGCCAGAATGAAAACAAACTGAATTGAAATAGAAAGTAAATACATTTTGCTTTTTTAAAATGTACAGAGTAGAAATTTCAGAAAATTGCCTAAAATATAGGAGTAAAAGTAAAAATGAGGCTGGAAAATAATTACTGCACTAAAGCATAGATATTCAAAGTTTCTACTTAAGCTAAAGCATTTGTGCATTGTCAAACCTCTGCTTGTAATAGCCAGAACTGTGTCAGACGAATTAGGCTATGTGGGTAAAAAGTAAATTTAAGTATTTAGCATCCTTGTACAGCCACCATATCTCAAACCAATAATTTCACTTCTCTGCTCTGTCCTTAAGCCACCAGGCACTGTCCCCCCATCTGTCCCGTGGATGTCAAAATGGATGTAGAAAGACCAAACTGTGCTCTACTCAGTTGGGAGCGTGTTCCCAACAGCCCAACAACCACCCGCTCCATCTTTGTTCTGGAAAGGCAAGAAGTGGGTTCCCAGGAGTGGTTGAAGTGTTTCACCTCAGAGACCGCCACGTCGGCTGAAATTACTGGTGACAGCGTGCCGTGTGAAGGCAACTACCGCTTCCGTGTCAGCTGCGTCAATAAGTACGGACGGAGCGGCCACGTAGAGTTTCCCAAGGTTGTCCACCTTGGTGAGCAGCCCATAGATTTTTGTTTTCTTTGATTTAACGCCTTTGACTTGAGTTTGACTTTCTTCTATTGTTTTTGTATTACTTAGTCCCAGGGCCAAAGATTCTCTGCAAACTTCAAGGTTGTGACGTAGTTGAGGGAGAAGATGCACACTTTTTCATTGAGCTGTCTGTCCCAATGGTTGGAACCTGGTTTTTGAACAGCTTGCAGCTGAAGCATGATGGACGGTACTCAATAAAACACAACCAAACCAAGCACTCACTGGTTATCTGTGAAACTCAAACAGCTGAGGACACAGCAGAGATCACATTCATAGCCAATGGAGTCAGAGATTCAGCGGTACTTAGGGTTAAACGTAGGTATAAAAATATATATATTAAGTGTTTTAGACGAACTGCAGATTGTTTCATGGGTTGTTTTCTTTACAGCTGCTGTGGTAAAATTTGTGCCTTTGTCGGAGTCAGACTGCAATAAGAGAGTGGAAACTGGAGATGCCATTGTGCTCTACTGTGAAGTTTCCCATCCATTTGCTAAAGTATCCTGGTGCAAAGATGGCAAAGAACTTCAGGTGACAAATGGCGTCAATGTCCAGTCAGATGGAAATATGAGGAGGATCGTGATCCAGTCTGCAGATATATCTCACTCAGGAGTTTATACATGTGAGACGTCGGGGGATGTTATTAAATTCAATGTGGATGTTGCAGGTACAACATTTTCATAAAAGTGGATAAAGTTCTGATTTCTAGCAATATTATCTAGAACATGAACTGTTCTGCATGTCTCAACTCTTTTGTTCTGGGTTTTGCAAATACTACAGATTCAAAAAAACTACTTGATTAAACTTCAAAATGCCCACAAGCTCATGTATTGATGGTTTCTTCACCAGAATTCTAGATAACTCAAAATGTGAACATTTAATTATATTTGTTACAGTTACGAAGTATGTTTTCTTCCAGTAGCTGACTCATTTATTTCACTTTCTTGCATATTTAGGCCCTCCAGTGGAATTTAGTCCTGTTCCAGATGTAGAGCTTCACAGGAGCACCACGGAGCTGGACCCTGTAGTCCTGCTGTGCCATGTCTCCAGAGATGATGCTGAAGTCGTATGGTAGGAGAAAGAAAAGTGAAATCGTTCACATCAAATATTCTCACTTAATGCTTTTATTTGACAAAATTTTAACATCCAAGAATGATTTAAAAGTATGCAAAGAAACAAAAAGTAAATGCTTTCTGGAAAAAGAATACTAAGTCCAAAAGTTGACAAGAAACAAAATACAAACCATACCATCTTTGTATCTGGTCCTATTTCCAGTGTCTTTTTGTTTTTATTTTGATATATTGAAATTTGGTGGAAATTTTACAAATATTTTAAAATAAATAAAATATTTATTGAACATTTTTTATATCATTTTAACAATAAGCTTTATTTTATAGTAAGTCTCATTTTCAGAGGTACTGAAGTGTATTTTTTCCACATAAAAAAACTTAAGAAGTAAATTACATAAAGAAGATTTTGCTTTAAATATATAAAATACATGTCCAAAGCAGGGAAAGCTGGAAAACTACTTTAGATCCTACCCACATGGCAGACAGGTGTGGGCCAGATCTGGTGTCAGGCTGGCACTGCTGGCATTGCAAGTGGTTTGTCAAGCGGAAGTGGGCCAGGTCTGGCAATGATGGCTCTGTTTTTAAGGTGAAATGCCACAACTGGCCCAGTTGTGGTTTGATTTATGTGGTCCAAATCAGTCTGTACCACTAAAGCTCAGTTGTTTGATTTATATGGTGATGGCCCCTGCATGGTCCACTTCTGGCAAACTGCACATGAGCCACCAAAGGGCCACCATTCTTTGCAGTATCTGGGCAGAGCATTGCTGTTCAGGTATGGACATTTGAGCCAGAACTGGGCCAGACCAATTTTGCTATATGGGTATCTAGAGTATTACCAATATTTTTAAAAACTAAAAAAAATGCTGTATTTGCTCCTCTTGCCCATATATACTAGGTTTTTAATGAAGAGAGAAAAATGTTTTCTAAAAGTTGGAAATAGTATAAAACTAATTTTTTGGTGTAATTGCATGAATTACAAATATATATTTTTTTATTATTGGAAATGCAGCCAATTATTTTGCGCATGTCCATTATTTTGTGCCCTGATAACAATAAATAAATAATTCATGATAGGTTTTTTACATTTGATTTGTGCATCTGTACTTTAACATTGATGGGAACTGTTCTCTATTTGTCCAAGGTTAAAGGATGGCCGTGAGATCCACCCAAGTGACAACATTACCCTGCAGGCAGACGGAACCATGAGGAGACTAATCATTCGCTCTGCAGAAATTTCAGATGCAGGAAGTTACACTTGCCAGGCTGGAAACAACAGCATAGAGTTCACAGTCAATATCAGAGGTACACTGACACCTGCTAATTCAAACAGTGCTGAAATACTCCTTTAGGTGCATGCCAACCAAGTGAAATCACATTATATCATATGAATCCATTTACTCTGACCATTTTTGTTTCTCCAACCGTAAAACTAGAACCTCCAGTTATGATTGTGGAACCCAAGAATGATGTTGTAATAGAGAGTTACATATCAGAGGAGATCAACTTGCAGTGCGAGTTATCTCGGTCCAGTGGGAAGGTACAGTGGTTCAAGAATGGCCAGGAGGTGAAGGAAACCGATAACATTCAGCTTATATCAGAGGGGCCTTACAGGAGGTTGACCATTGTCTGCAGCTCAGTGGATGATAGCGGAGAGTTTGTTTGTGAAACGGATGGAGACTCTGTCTTTTTCCAGCTAATTGTTACAGGTAAAACCTCCAACTGTGCCAACATATGCGTGCCATCTCGTAAGATTTAATAGTTTTATTGTAATATATCTCTCTTGCACCAGAGCCACCAGTACGATTCATTTTCCCCAGTGAACCAGAGGTGGAACTGACACATGTTGCTTCAGAGAGGCTGGAGCTCAGTTGTGAGATCTCTCAGGCAGATGCTCAGGTTCGGTGGTACAAAGACAGCTTGGAGGTAGAGGAAGGTCCCAACTTGATCCTGGAAGTAGATGGGGCCAAACGGCAGCTAGTCATACCTTTAACCACTGTGGATGATAAAGGGGAGTACATATGCGACACCGAGAATGACTCAGTGGCTTTCCTGGTTACTATTACAGGTGAGAAGGAGGACATCTAGCATGAAAAATGATCAACCAATAGAACGATTCTTTCTCATTTTTGTTTACTTCTTTATATTTAGAGCCACCAATAATAATCACTCGTCCTGAAGACACCCCTGAAAGACTAGAGAGTTTTGTTGGTAAACCGATTGTTCTGGAGATTGAGGTGTCACGACCAACAGCAGTAGTCAAGTGGCTACTAAATGGCAAAGAAATCAAAGAGAGCAGCAACTTCACTATCACAGAGGACGAAATAATTCGTCGGCTTACCATCAACTTTCCATCTGTAGAAGATTCTGGGAAATACACTTGTGATGCTATCGATGATAAAATTGATTTCCAGGTCAAAGTTTCAGGTAAGAGTTGAAGGTTGTTATAAAGATATTTTCTAGCCTCTCCATATAAATCATTTTAAATTAATGTGTTTTTATACTGTATGTCCTCAGAGCCACCAGTGAAGATCTTAAGAAAATCAGAGATCAAGACAGACCTAAAGTTCCTGGTTTCAGATGACATTGTGCTGGAGTGTGAACTCTCCAGAACCAGTAGCAAAGCCAAATGGTACAAGGATGGGTGTCGCGTTGATGGTAATGAAAGGTATTGTGAGGAGGAAGAGGGTACTTTCCGCTCCTTGGTGATCCTTAATACCGAACTTGGAGACTCAGGAGAATACGTTCTAGATGTTGAAGATGACAGTATCAGCTTCCAGGTTGTAGTACAAGGTAACATTGAAAGGCTTTTTTATTTTGTTTAAATTAATTTTAAAAACTTCAATAATTATAACTTTTATTTTTTAGAGCCTCCAGTGACCATAGTAGGAAATTCATATGACCCTGAATACCAGGAAATGGTGGCAGGCGATGACTTAATCTTGGCCTGTGAGTTGTCCCGTGCCAACGCTTCAGTCCAGTGGTACTGTAATGATAGGCTGCTCACCAGTGACTCCCGTACCTCGATTGAGACCTGTGGGACCCTGAGGAAACTTATCATCTCAGGTATCCAGCCCTCAGATTCTGGAAAGTATGTGTGTGATGCTGTGGATGACAAGATGATCAACGTTGTCAGGATTCAAGGTACAAACCTAAAGCATTGATTTCTAGGGCCTATGGGGAAAGGGAATAGTCAAAACCTAATATTCGTATTTCTTATATTTCCAACAAAGAACCTCCAGTGACATTCATGAACAAGGAAGATGACATTGTTGTGATAGCCTATGAAGCAGAGAGCGTAACCTTGACAAGCTACGTGTCCAAGGAAAGTGCTGTGGTACGCTGGCTGAAAGATTGGACACCAGTTGAAGGTGAACGCTTCCGAGCCCTCATGGAAGGCCATAAACGTACCTTTACCATTGAGCCACTGAGGCGTTCTGATGCTGGTGAATACACTTGTGATGTCAACACAGACCAGATACATTTCAGTCTACTGGTGAAAGGTAGTGCAAATAATGGCTGTTTCATTTTGTAACTTCAAAAAGTATTTGTAGAAGTTTTGAAGAGCAATCGAATGCCTACATCTTTTGCATTGCAGAAATGAGAATAAAGTTTGTGCGACCCCTCCAAGACACTGTGGCTCACGCTGATGGCATGGTGACATTGCGCTGTGAGGTGTGCAAACCAAAAGCAGATGTCCAATGGCTCAAGAATGGTGTTGAAGTTGTCCCGAGCAGAAGGTTTTCCATTCGAGCAGATGGAGTTGAACGAAGCTTGACTATCCATCGTTTAACTCAACAGGATGCAGGGCAGTATACTTGTGAGTCCAGAGATGACCAGACCACTGCAACACTGAGAGTAGAGAGTAAGTATCAGAAGATTAGGTTATTTGAGTTTTTATTTTAAATGATTTAGCAACTTAATTCTCTGCCTATTGTCCTTTTAGTGCCTCGAGTTGTTGAGTTTCTTACTGAGCTTCACAACACAACTGTACTAGAGGGAGAAGATGCCACCTTCAAGTGCGTAGTTTCTCCTGAGGATATTCAGTTGGTTTGGCTAATGGACAATGAGCCGATTACTTTGGGTAATCGTTTCCAAGCAACCCAGAATGGCCTGTGCCACACTTTAGTAATCAAAAAGAGCCAAACTGTGGACTCCTCAAAGATTACAGCAGAAGCTGAAGGAAAGACAAGCAAAGCCAGTCTCAAAGTTCAGGGTAACTCCTTTATTAAGACAAAAACATACATTTGTATCACTAAAACTAGGAGCATGTCTCAGTGATCTTCATTTATGCCTCTATGCCTCTCTTTACTATTTTCAGAGGCTCAAGTCATGTTTACAAAGAAAATGGAGGCTGTTGTGGCAGAAGAGTTTGGCGAGGCGACTTTGGTGACGGAGATCAGCTTGGAGACAGGTGAGGTCCAATGGATGAGGCAAGGAGTGGTCATCCAGTCTGGTCCCCGACATACACTGGCCCAAAATGGCTGTAAACGCAGCCTCACCATCTGCAACCTGACTTTGTCGGACAGAGGAACTTACCGCTGTGAGACTCTGCATGACCGGACACAAGTCAAGCTTAACGTAGAACGTAAGTAGTCCATAATGTGAAATGAAAAATTTTGAGATGCATTTCCAAAAGATCTAGCCAGAATACAAAGGTATATACACAGACCTAATCTACAGTGGTGGGTAGCGCTAAGTCAAAAATTAGCTCCACAATTTTTAAAGTGCTTAAGAAAATATTTAGGTCCACAACTTCAAAAGCGCTTATTAGCAGAAGTTAATTTTAATGCGCAAGTTCAATTTGACACTTACTAGCTGGCAAAAATTCATGTACAATATACTATGCACAACACTGCCAACTAGCGGTGTATGAACCCTTTTACAGCTAACGCCTACAACCGCCGATTGCTGGGGATGTGAGTTCCTGAAACAGAACTTTGGCTCCTGGTGTAAAAATTAAAACGTTGTTGAGGCTTGTTAGTTCGGCTGCTACTTTAAAAAGTTGTTGAAGTTTGCTAGTTCGGCTGCTTCTTTGTCTTTTTCTTTTGTTTGTTGTAGATTTTTCATTAAAGAAGCATCAATAAAGTAATTTTAAAACAGTTTATTGGAAAACTGAAGTGATACATTCTGGGTACATGACGGATTTGATTTGTGACAGGAAACGAAAACACGGAGAACAGGAAACTAGTATCTTCCCTTCAAAATAAAAGCTTGAATTTTAAAGTTTTCCATGTTTTCATTGGATTTTAAAGTTTTCCAGTTCACCTGAAACTCATCAGACTGAAGAAGTCTCTTGGAGGAGAGACGAAACGTTTCAGTAAAGAAGAACCCATCCAGAGGACCTACTTGTTTTTTCTTTTCGGTTTTTTCTACCTGGATTACTGAGATGCATCAGGACGTTTTCCATGTAGTTGCTCCAGTTGACCACTAGATGCCTGTGTTCACCAGCATAACATCTTTAAATCATTTCTGAGTCTCTAACACCGTTGGCTGATTGATTATTGAGCTCCAGCATTTCAACTTTATTTAAAAAAGGGAGCTCCGATTGTAAAGTAAAAAAAATCAAAACATACAAAATTTTAGTATGGATTACAAACATTAACTGTTTTTGCTATTGCCTTCCTGCTACGTAAGCAGACACAAAGCATTGTGGGAAATCAGAACCGTGGCTGAAAGCAACAGTCCACAAGGATATATACCTTCACAATAAATGTGTTTATGTGGGAGGGGTACTGTTGGATAGATCACGTGTGTTGTGATTCATTGACAGCCATAGCTTCTGCTGTTCAAGATAATGATGACTGGTAGAAAATTAGTTATTAGCGGTACTGCATTTTAATTTTAGAAAGAGCAAATCTGCTTATGAATTATAAAAATTAGTAAGACCACTAAGTTGCAAACAAAATATTTAGGTTTGCAATTAGCGGATTTGCGCTTTACTTTTATTTATTTATTTATTTTATTTACTGTTATTTTACCAGGCAAATCCCATTGAGATCTCAGATCTCTTTTTCAAGGGCGGCCTGGGCCTGAAGGCAACCTATTGTACATGTTTTTGGAGGGTGGGGGAAACCAGACTACCCAGAGAAAACCCACACAAGCACGAGGAGAACATGCAAACTCCGCACAGAAAGACCCCAGGTCCGAACCGGGGATCGAACCCAGGACCTTCTTGCTGTGAGGCGTCGGTGCTAACCACTGAGCCATCGTGCCGCCAAAGTGGGCTGGTGCCCACCACTGATAATCTATTATCTAATTGTAGCCAGTATGAATGTGTTTATTGATGTAATTTATAATCAGGTAAAATCTTGTTTAAGAAATAAAAATCAATTGCAAAAATAAATAGCTTATTTTTGGATTTGTTTCAGTGAATTGAATTTCATATACCACAGAGGTCTTGCAAAGTAAATAGGATTACAAATTGTTTTTCACAGTACATCACAGCACAAAAAGATACTAAAAATTACTTGGCTAGATCTACAAGTGTGAAAAGGTTTTTGAAACAGCCTTACTGTTATACAACAGTGCACTGTACACTGGGACCATAGAGTGCTTCTGTAAGAATCGCTTTTCCAATGCCAACACTGTCTATATTTTAATTTTCTTTTGTTGTCCTTGAAATACAAAGTATTATCATCATACAGGGAAATTTTTAGCTTCGCTTGAAAGGGCTGGCAGTATATTGAACTTTACAAAAATGTATGCTTTCTAGAAATAACCTTTTATTCATAGAATTTCCAAGCATTTAAAAGTATTTTTATTACATGGACATAGTCCTCTCAACACATTCGTCTCCTTAAATCTCTTTCATCAGCTCGAAAGATCTCCATTCGCAAAGGCCTGACTGATCAGGAAACCTTTGAACGAGAGACTGCATCTTTTGAGGTGGAGCTCTCCCACACAGATGTTGAAGGTATTTGGCAGAAGGACGGCATCCGAGTGAAGCCAAACAACCAATTTCGAGTGAGCACCAACGGGCTGGTACATGGCCTTACCTTGTCCAACTTGACTCTGGAGGACACAGGCACCATCGTCTTTTCAGCCGAAGGTGTGCGCACCACGGCGAGGCTCACAGTCAAAGGTAAACATGAGCCAGTGTTTGTGAAGGACATTGTTATGGTCAGTTAAAAACACAAAGTACATAGAATCATAGAATTGTAACACACATAGAATGAAATATCCCTAGAGGGAGCACCGCCTATCCCGTCCACTGCTAGTACCTGTGACATCAGGGAGGAGCCAAGGTGGCGTCCAATCAGAGTGACAGCTCACAGCCGACAAAGCAACTATTGAATTAAAGGGGATGTGCACAATGTAAAATCAAAGTTTTTCAGCATTATTTCATTTTATGTTATTCTCTCATCAAATGTATACCCAGAGTGTTGCTTTGACTCATTCACGCATGTTTGAGAAATCCTTGAATCTCCTGTGGTAGACATGTGGAGCTGACTAAATGCTTGCAGGTACAAAGCACCGCCTGTTTGTACACAGCACCTCCCAGGAGCTCAGAACTTTACAAAGTTAAGGCCCTTTCACACATATTTTAGACAACTTATGCAAACTTATTAAAGGGGCAATATTATGTGTTTCTCAGGCATACATTTAAATACTATACCATAATAAAGTATCTATGTCACCTTTAGTTGTTATTAAAATTATGTTTTTATGTTTAAATAGAAAATAAACTTATATTCTCATCACTTCCTCTTCTAGATGCCTTCAAATTGGTCTCTGTCTCTTTAAGAACCTCCTTCCGCTTCTGTCTCGCCCATGACAGTGCGGGGG